CAATAACCTTCAAAATTTGTTGTTTCACTTACAACCAGACTTTCAGGTAATAAATAAGAGACCCAAATCCCCTCTGTTCTCAAGAAATTGACGAACACAATTCAAAGAGTGTTAGACACAAGCTTCTCATGTAGGGCCCTACTATTCCACATCCAAGGGACAACAACATGAATCAATTTATGACAATATATACATAAAATTAACAATTCTATTTTCCTTTGTAGCAAATATTCATAACATACCAAAGAATTTACCAGCCGCTTTTTGTTGCTATAATTAAAAATTAAAAATTCTTAATCAAATCTATAAGGAAGTCACATTTCTTCGATTATCTATATATTATTGTATGTCTATTCCATAGTTGGTCCAAGGTAATAAAGATATATACTTTAATCAAAACACTGACAAAAAATTATATTACTAAACACACAAAAATTACATTTTAAGCTCCTACATATAGACCGTGGATATAAAGTATTATACAATGTGCTGTAGAACACACCATGTCTCTATACTAATCAATAAGAGCTGCCCGACCATTAAGTGGTCATTCTTAATCCAACAGAAAAAAAGAATAGCAAACACAATCATTTACATATAAATTATATTTGAGGACAAGAGGTCAAAGAGAAAGGATGTAATCTCCCTATTGAATATGGGAACTTCAGCATACAAAATATTAACATGATTATAACAAGCTCTACAAAGGAGTACACTCAACAAAAGATGCGAAAAGGTCAAGAACAAAGGAATTGTAAACGAGAAAAAGATAATCCAAAAGAAAAAGCAAGGAATAAACAACAATGATTATGAATGAAAAACTATAGAAATCATCTATTTGTCCAACTACGACCTATCCCTAGTTCATCATCGTTCTTTATTCTCGGTTAGTTACTTTCAACTCCTAATGCACCTTTTTTATCTACATTGCTTTCCAAAAAGATTTCCATAACTACACTCCTCAATCAAACTCCTAAGATATCCGTCTACATTGTCTAAATTAATTGTTTCATCCTCCATGTCCAGTGACAGATAGAAACAGCCATAATCCAATCAATAAACGAGAGTGAACACTATAAGATCGTGCTCCAGCATATAAACTCTAGATCACAAGAGGCTACTATTGTCACCTGAAAGAATAAGCAATTTGAGTTCATGCTATGCAATCAAAAAATCCTATTTGCCACACTAGAAAATTTGACAATGTATGCGTTAATGCCCTCTTTGGTGGTGACTAAACAGGCTATGTGTGCGATGCTTTAGACTCATTGGATCCCATATAATCGATTATGACAAATATCATTATCGATTACAAGGAATGTACATTAAATAAAATGTAAGAAAACAAAAAAATCGCAAATGTAAGTATTTCTACTCTCTTACTTAAATCAAACAACCTATTTTTCTACCCTATTCCTCATCTATTTCCCTTTTCTTTTTTACCCACCTACTTTCTTCTTCTCTGCCAAAACACCGTATACGATACCAAAAAAGGAAAAACCACTACAGTGCTTTCAATTTCTCCAAAATCTATCCCACATTCCCAGTGACAATACCATTATGGTACCTAACTGATAAAACTAATGCCAAGCAGGAAAACAAATCAAACATCAAAGACACAAATCAAGCACAAAAACCAAAACCATACCTAATGCCCCATGTAAGGCGCACCACCACCACCATATTGCCCTCTTCCAGAACCACCCTGCCCTATCTGCTGATTCGGATTCGGATATGCAGCCTGCAACCCCACCTGGGTCCCATATCCACCAATAACACCCGGACTAATATTTGACTGAGCACTGTAGCCACTCTGTACTCCAGCCCCTGCAGCAGGCACACCAGGGTTCACCGCAGCACTCGTTCCAATACTCCCCAACAAATTCAGCCCCAACGTCCCTTGCGATGCCAGGAGGGCCGTCAACGCCTGCCCCAAAGCCGGATTCAACGCCGCTTGGTTAAACCCAATCCCTGGCCCAGCGGGGGCCATCAAGTGTCCCGGCTGCGCTGCTGCAGCACTACCAACATACGCGCCACCTGCATTGGCAGTATCATTCCTCTGAAACTGAGTCCGCTGGACCTGAGCACTCACGTTCCCGTGTTGCTGCTGCTGCAACTTCCCAGGCTTGGGCCCATCAATCGCCTTCTGGCAATGCAAAATATGCCCCTCAAAGTCCTTATGAGGCTCTTCCAAGGCTCTCTTCGCACTCTCCGGACTCCTGTAAACAAACAAACAAAACCCTTTCGGTTTTCCTGTTAGCTTATCAAGCCCCAAAGGCCCCTCCTCAATTTCCCCGAACCGTGAAAAGAACGCCAGAAGCTTCTGCGGATCGAGTTCCGCACCGACGTTGCTCACGTAGATCTTCCTCTGCGTGTACTCCGAAGCCGACGATGACAGCGTCGGCGCTGAGGAAGGCATTGCCTGCGGCTGGCTCTGGCTGCTACTGACGGGGCCGATGGACGCCAGCTGGCACGCCGTCATGCGATTGCCGATCTTCTTCTGCGGCTGCTTTAGCGCGTTGCGCGCGCCGCGCCGCGTCTTGAAGAGGATGAAGCCGTAACCTTTGGACTTACCAGAAACCTTGTCCGTGACGGCCTTGCAGTCCTCGATCTCTCCGTACTGCCGGAACGCACTGATTAGGGTTCCCGCTGTGGTGTCCCACCCCAACCCGTGGACAAAGATCTTCCTGTGCACGGGATCCTCGTCAGCCGCCTTGCGGATCCGGTCCGCCACGTCGCGGTGATTTGCCGCCGCCTCGCATAGAAGGTTTAAGATCTGGTCCTTGCTTAAAGGTTCCAGAAGCTTTTCGATCGGGTCGTCATCCTCATCCTGCTGCTGTTCTTGCTCTTCATCGTCCTCTTCTTCTTCTTCTTCCTCCTCCTCCTCCTCCTCTTCTACTTCCTCTACTTCTTCTTCCTCCTCTTCTTCCTCTTCGACTTCCTCATACTCGGGTGGCGCAATTTGGGGTTCAGGTTGGTGATGCTTGAGCGGAGGTTCAGCGGATTGAGAAGATTTGGGTGCTACCTTTCGCTTCTTCCCCATCGGCGATTTCTCAAGTGCAGTGCAGGGGTGGCACTAGGGTTTTTTCTGATGAGGATTTTGGAATCAATCGCATTCACTATGACATGATACTCTTGTATATATTTATTTTATTTTTTTCTATATCCTTTTTTTAGTCGCCACAATTCTTTTTCTATTTTGCTTTTCCCCGATAAGAAAATTTGAGGGGATGGTATGGACTCAGGNAATATGAACAGTAAAGCTTATGCTGTTCTACAGAATCCACCAGAAACTCCGAGGAACATTTAAAGTTTTAACAGATTATATATTAGACTTCCAAAAGCATGTCGTTAAGGGTCCATTTGCTTTTACAAGGAAAAATATTTTTAAAACTGATACGTTAAAAAAATTATATTCCGGGCTCTAAAGTTGCTTCAGAGTTTTTATCCAGAAGAGAAAATAAATAGCGTATGGAAGAAAGACATAAATAAAAGATGTATCAGAAAATTACAATATATATGTAAGTTTTTCGAGGTGGACTCAAAAAGTTGCTTCTAGCTTCTGGGAAAAAAATATATACAAAAAGATGTATCACAGAATTAACTTCTATTAGCTTGCTTAAACAAATAGGACATATATGCAATAACCTTCAAAATTTGTTGTTTCACTTACAACCAGACTTTCAGGTAATAAATAAGAGACCCAAATCCCCTCTGTTCTCAAGAAATTGACGAACACAATTCAAAGAGTGTTAGACACAAGCTTCTCATGTAGGGCCCTACTATTCCACATCCAAGGGACAACAACATGAATCAATTTATGACAATATATACATAAAATTAACAATTCTATTTTCCTTTGTAGCAAATATTCATAACATACCAAAGAATTTACCAGCCGCTTTTTGTTGCTATAATTAAAAATTAAAAATTCTTAATCAAATCTATAAGGAAGTCACATTTCTTCGATTATCTATATATTATTGTATGTCTATTCCATAGTTGGTCCAAGGTAATAAAGATATATACTTTAATCAAAACACTGACAAAAAATTATATTACTAAACACACAAAAATTACATTTTAAGCTCCTACATATAGACCGTGGATATAAAGTATTATACAATGTGCTGTAGAACACACCATGTCTCTATACTAATCAATAAGAGCTGCCCGACCATTAAGTGGTCATTCTTAATCCAACAGAAAAAAAGAATAGCAAACACAATCATTTACATATAAATTATATTTGAGGACAAGAGGTCAAAGAGAAAGGATGTAATCTCCCTATTGAATATGGGAACTTCAGCATACAAAATATTAACATGATTATAACAAGCTCTACAAAGGAGTACACTCAACAAAAGATGCGAAAAGGTCAAGAACAAAGGAATTGTAAACGAGAAAAAGATAATCCAAAAGAAAAAGCAAGGAATAAACAACAATGATTATGAATGAAAAACTATAGAAATCATCTATTTGTCCAACTACGACCTATCCCTAGTTCATCATCGTTCTTTATTCTCGGTTAGTTACTTTCAACTCCTAATGCACCTTTTTTATCTACATTGCTTTCCAAAAAGATTTCCATAACTACGCTCCTCAATCAAACTCCTAAGATATCCGTCTACATTGTCTAAATTAATTGTTTCATCCTCCATGTCCAGTGACAGATAGAAACAGCCATAATCCAATCAATAAACGAGAGTGAACACTATAAGATCGTGCTCCAGCATATAAACTCTAGATCACAAGAGGCTACTATTGTCACCTGAAAGAATAAGCAATTTGAGTTCATGCTATGCAATCAAAAAATCCTATTTGCCACTCTAGAAAATTTGACAATGTATGCGTTAATGCCCTCTTTGGTGGTGACTAAACAGGCTATGTGTGCGATGCTTTAGACTCATTGGATCCCATATAATCGATTATGACAAATATCATTATCGATTACAAGGAATGTACATTAAATAAAATGTAAGAAAACAAAAAAATCGCAAATGTAAGTATTTCTACTCTCTTACTTAAATCAAACAACCTATTTTTCTACCCTATTCCTCATCTATTTCCCTTTTCTTTTTTACCCACCTACTTTCTTCTTCTCTGCCAAAACACCGTATACGATACCAAAAAAGGAAAAACCACTACAGTGCTTTCAATTTCTCCAAAATCTATCCCACATTCCCAGTGACAATACCATTATGGTACCTAACTGATAAAACTAATGCCAAGCAGGAAAACAAATCAAACATC